TGAGAGAAATTAAAGAAGACATAAATAAATGGAAACACATCCATCTTTGTGGATTGGAATTAATATTGTTAAAATGTCGATATTACCCAAAGCAGTCTACAGATTCAGTGCAGTCCCTGGCAAAATCCTAGTGATGTTTTTTGCAGAAATAGAAAAACCCATTCTAAAATTCATATGAAATCTCAGAGGACCCAGAATAGTAAAAACAATCTTGAAAAAAAAAGAACAAGCTGGAGGACTCACACTTCCTTATTTCAAAACTTACTACAAAGCTACAGTAATCAAAACAGTGTGGTACTGGCATAAAGACAGACGTATAGACCAAGGGAATAGAATAAAGAGCCCAGAAATGAACCCTTGCATATATGATCAAGTGATTTTTGACAAGGATGCTAAGACCATTCCATGGTGAAAGGACAGTCTTTTCAACAAATGATGCTGGGAAAACTAGATATCCACATGCAAAAGAATAAAGTTGGACCCTTACCTAACACTGTACACAAAAATTAACTCAAAATGCATCAAGGACCTAAATGGAAGACCTAAAAATGTGGAAGAACCTTGAAAACATTACTCTAGGTGAAATAAGGCAGACACAAAAGGACAAATATTGTAGAATTCCACTTATATGAGATACCTGGATTAGGCAAATTCATAAAGACAAAGAGTGGTTCCCAGGGGCTGGGGGAAGGGGGAGTGTGATTTATTGTTTAATAGGTATAGAGTTTCAGTTTTACAAGATAAATGGATGGTGATGATGGCTACACAACAATGTGAATGTATTTAATACCACTGAACCGTGTACTTAAAAATGGTAAAGATGGTAAATTTTATGTTATGTGTATTTTTACCACAATAAGAAAAAGGAAAGGGGGGCACATTTTCTATCTTTTTTTTTTTTTTGACGGAAAACTATCCTCTTCACTAAAGCAGCCAAAAGATGCATTCTTATTTTCACTCCTGTCAAGCAACCACAATGCCATTGATACAAATTAAGGAAATTGAGCAATTTTAGTAGCATCCAGAGGGTACCAGTCATTCTAGAATCCTTGGAATGGATATCAGTCACTTCTAACCAAGTACATTCTAGAAATTATATTGTAATTCAAAGATTTCAAAATGTTGAACACCTGTAAAATAATTGAGTATTCACAAATAAGTATGGGTATGGAGAGACAGTTGACAGCTTTGAAATCAGTTGTTTTTGTTTGTTTTTTAAAATTTATCCTTTATTTGTTGTTTGACACATACATAAGCCTGCAGGTACCCAAATGTTCCAAAAAATTAATTAATCCCAGAGGATGTGAGGAGAGGGTCAAAGAGGAGGTTTCTATTGATGTTCTTATTTGTCAAACAACTCTGTACTAAGATAAAGAAATGACTACCTTTCCTAATATTTAGCTCATTTAAAATCATTTTTTAACCTTGCAATAGTAATAGCTATTTGTAAATGAAAAATGTTCTTCCTAAAAACTGCAGACATATATAATGTAAAAGGAGAGTTGGCACCAATATTGAGTCTTCCTATCCAAGAATATGGTATATATCTCTTTTTTTAGGTCATTTTTTGTATCCGTATTGTGGTTATATAATTAGTAGATTTCTTACGAGTTTACACTTAGGTATTTTATAGTTTTGGGGCTATTGTGAGTGACGTCTTAAATGACAGAATAAATTTTCTACACAGTTATTGCTGGTATATTTTGGAAAGCTGAGTTACTTTGTGTCCAGTCATCTCACCAAACTCCCTTATTAACTCTAATATTGAGTTGATTGCCTTGAATTTTCTAAAAGACCATGATATCCTCTCCAGCATTTGAACTTTTTTTTTTTCAGCTTCAGCTAGAATCCTTCAGAACATCATGAATAAGAATGTTGCTGGCAGCATCTTTGTTCAGTTCCTGGCTTCAAAGGAATGCTGTGGATGTTTCACATTAAATCTGATGCTTGCTGTAAAGATTTTTGATACTTTTTAGCAAATTAAAGAAGTTTCCTTTTTTTTCTAGCTTATTAATGTTATTATTTTTGTAAAAAACAGGAATAGATATTGAATTAGATTGTATGGTTTTTCTTCTTTTATATATTTCAATATGAATTAAGAGATTAGGTTTCCTAATTTTGAGACATCCTTGCATTCCTGGGATTAAACCCTACTAGATGATATATTATTCTTAGGCTATTATTAGATTTAATTAGCTGGTATTTTATTTAGGATTTTTATATCTGTATTCTGAGATATTATTGAGTTTTCGTCTTGGAGGTCTTGTTTGTTTTGTATAAAGGTCTAGTCTCATAGAATGAATTGAGAGATTTTTCATGCTTTTAAAATTTTCAGGAATGGTTTAAATTTTCTGTTCCATAAAAAATTTGATAGAACCCACCATAAAACTTTGAGGCCTTTGATTCATTTTTGCGGGGAGGAGGAATAAAGACTGTAGATCTTTTACTACTTTTTCAGTTTACGTTGCATTTAATTAGTCTATTTTGGGTTTTCTGCTTCTTGAGCGTGTTTTACAAATTGATGTTTGCCTAGGAAGTTATCCACATCCTTTAGATAAAGGGTTATAAGCTTGTGCTCACAGAGGAGATGATGAAAATGGGTAAGTGACAGCTGTAGGAGAGTTCCTATGGTCCTCCTGGCCTGCCTCTCACTTTCACACTTTAGACAGAGAGCACTTTCTCCACCAAATGGAAGTGCCCTGCCCTTGGTGGGGGGAGGCAGGGTGAGCAGCGAAGGGCAGTGTGCCTGTTGTCCCAGCTGTCTCCGCACAGTGCCCTCAGAGCTGCTGAGCTGTCGAGAGAAGCCCGAAGTCTGGACTGTTAGGTAGAATCTCAAGCTTTTTAATAATGACTCAACTTCTAAAAAACGTTGTGCAGGCCCAACAAGTAGCCCTGAGCCACTTGTTCGCAGCTTTCTTTAAGTATGAAAAGGTTAAATTGTTATAGTTATTTTCTCTTGTGGTTTAAAAAAAAAGTCTCCTTCGTGTGTATTGGTGTCCTTTCTCATTCCCACTTGTTGTGGTACCTTTTCTTCCTTTGTTCAGCCTGGGAAGAAGCTTAAGATTATAAAACCAACTTTTGGGTTTATTGATCACATTTGCTTCTTTGTTTTCCCAATAATTTCTGCTTTTACCTTTAATTCATTGTTACCTTATTAGTTGGTTTCTCGTTGTTTTTTTGGCTTCTTACATTGAACGCATACTTCTTAGTCTTGTTTTGTTCTCTCGTAAATGGATTTAAACCTATACGTTTTCTTCTACATGTGGGGCACATCTTATAAAATTTGATTTCTGGGGCTTTCGTTGTCAGTTATTTCTAAATGGACTATAATTTCAACTTTTATTTCTTCTCTAATAGTTTAAACTATTTAAATTTTTTCAAATGTATGAATTTTTTTTTTTTTTTTTTTTTTTTTTTTGTGAGGGAGATCAGCCCTGAGCTAACATCCGTGCCAGTCCTCCTCCCTTTGCTGAGGAAGACCGGCCCTGAGCCAACGTCCATTGCCAATCCTCCTCCTTTTTTTTCCTTCCCCAAAGCCCCAGCGGATAGCCGCATGTCATAGTTGCACATCCTTCCAGTTGCTGTATGTGGGACGCGGCCTCAGCATGGCCGGAGAAGCGGTGTGTCCGTGCGCGCCTGGGACCCGAACCCGGGCCGCCAGCAGCGGAGCGCACGCACTTAACCGCTAAGCCACCGGGCCGGCCCTCAAATGTGTGAATTTTATATTGTGAAATTACTCTTGTTTTGTTTTGGAGGGTTGGTTGATGATATTTTCTTTCTTGTAGGATTGAGTATATTCCCTCTCTCCTTTTTTCTTCTAACGATTTGGAAGATATATATCCCATTTCTATCCTTTTAGTGGTTACTCTTAAGTTTTTAATTATAAGAATTACATTTATGTAAACGTAAAGATTTAATCATTTCATAGCCTCCCCCTCCCAAATAAGATGGTGCCTTGAGCCCATTCTTAATTCTTTCTTCCCCTCAATTTTTTTTATTTTGGTAAAATACACATAACATAAAATTTACCATCTTAACCATTTTTATTGTTATTTATTTTTTTGGTGAGGGATGAGCTAACATCTGTTGCCAGTCTTCCTCTTTTTGCTTGAGGAAGATTATCCCTGAGCTAACATCTGTGCCAGTCTTCCTCTATTTTGTAGGTGGGATGCCCCCACAGCATGGCTCGACGAGCGATGTGTAGGTCCGTGCACAGGATCCGAACCTATGAACCCGGGCCACCGAAGCGGAGCGCAGACTTAACCACTGTGCCACTGGGTCGGCCCATTAACCATTTTTAAGTGTACAGTTCAGTGGCGTTAAGTGCATTCACATTGTTGTGCAACATCACCACCATCCATCTCCAGAACTTTTTCATCTTCCTGATCTGAAATTCTGTCCCCATTAAACAATAACTCCCCATTCCACCTTCCCCCGGCCCCTGACAACCCCCATTCTGCTTTCTGTCTCCGTGGATTTCACTCCTCTAGGGGCCTCCTGTAAGTGGAATTGTATAGGATTTGCCCCTTTATGTCTGGTGTATTTCAGTCAGCATACTGTCCACAAGGTCCATCCATGTTGTCTCAGTTTGCCTGCTGATAAGTCTTCCTCTTGATCTCTGAGCTCTTCACCTGCAGGGTTGGTCATCTTAATTTTTTTGTCTCTAGCATGTACAGGGCATATAATGGGCATTCAGTAAGTGATAAATATTCCGTTACTGTATTGACAGATTCAGCTCTAATATCTTAATTTCTCTTTTTAATGTGAAGTCATCTCTATGTTTTTCGTGTAAGAAAAGTACTTGTGATGATTTAGAGTAAGTTGAGTAAGATGTTGAGACAGAGATAGAATATTAGGTGATGTGTCTACAGTGTTGCATCTTCTCTTGTCTGCAGACGATGTTTCTTATATATATCATTTTTAAAAATCTCCCCCGGAAAATGTCCTGGGTAGCTCTTGCTGGTACTCAGGTTTTTTGTTTTTTTACATCCCCTTATTAGGTGACAATGAAAACCAAACAGCGCATGCTAACAGAAGACTGGGAGCTTTTTAAACAAAGGCGATTCATCGAAGAGCAGGTAAGGTCGTGGGTGGAGTGCAGTTCAGTGAAATGGAAATTGTTCAATGCGGAGTGTGGCTCTAAAAGACTAACATTTCAGGACCACACTGCGTGTTCTGATTGTAAGATAGTGTTTTTAACCATCAGATAAACTTAATTTTCCTTATCTTCTGTATTCCTCAAGGAAAACCTATGTTTATCAAGTGACCCACTCTAGCCCACAGCCACCCCGGGAGTCCCCCACAGTCTCCTAGGGGGGTGGTGCCATCTCCAGTTTACACTCGAGGGCGTGACCTGCAGTGCAGCCACGCTCCCCTCAGACCGAGCTCGCAGACCTCCCCTTGCGCCAGGGGCTGTGCCTTCAGCGTGGCTGCTGACGACTCCGGCTTGCCCCTTCCTCCAGCAGACTCTGCCAACTGCTTGGACAGAGCTTGCTGGGGGCCTTGCTGTGATGGTCTCAGGGCACCTGACTTCGTTTGAAAACTTGCTTCCCACATGCTGGCTTCTCTCTCACTTTCTGAGTCTCCCTTGTCAGGTCCACTCCCTCGGCCTTCCTTAGACATTGGTGGCCCCTGACCTCGGCCCCCACACCTGCATTCACGTTCTCACTCCCTTGATCTCCTCTGGGCACCACAGGTAGACAGAGGGCACCTGCACTTGGGCTGGCTCACCTGCCCCCACCCCTTCCCGCATGGCTCCTGTCCCGTCAAATGGCCCCTCCAACTGCCACCTGTCCCATTGCCAGAGCTGATCCACAAATTCCTTCTCCTCTGAAATCCAGATGCTTGCCTAGTCCATTGGAAGTTCAGGTGCCGCTTGCCTAGGTAGCTTTAAGATCTACCCCTTCTCTGTGTGCTGGTCTTCATTGCTGCAGCTGGTGTCCTCTCTAGCTGGCCTTCCTCAGTGCTGCATTTCCTCCCACCTACCTGCTGACATCTTCATGCTGACCATCCAGGCTTCCATCCTGTCTCATAAATGCCTGTTTAATTCATGGACACTGGTGCTGCAGCTTTGTGTGCATAGGCCTCCTGTGCTGCAAGGCTGCACTTGCAGGCACTGTGCCGACCTCCTGGTCCCGAGGCTCCTTTCTACTCAGCCCAGGGTCAGCAGGCCTTCGAGAAGTCTGACTGGATGCCTAGCTCAGTGCTTTTCCCCTGGCCTAGACGCCCTCCTTGCCTCTGATGGAGTCACCAGCAGTGCCTCCTTCTGGACCTCACTTAGGCCTGGGGCCGCGCTCAGCTGCTTCTCTGCCTCCGTGGTGCCCTGAGCAGATCCTTTCCAGAGCACCTCCCTCATCATGGTTTCTCTTAATCTTTGGTTTCTTGCCGGTCTCCTCTTCCAGAATCTAAGCTCCTTGAAGGCAGTGATTTGTCTCTGCGCTGCTGGTACCTAGCGGGTACCAGCACATGGCAGATTCAGGGGAAAGGCTGGGTTTCTGCTGCAAGGGGTGTTACAGTGCATTTGCTAGTGAGGAAGCCTTTTAGGGGTTACTGGTCCCTGGCCTTTGTGGCTCAGCCAGGTCTGCTGCCCTTTTTGCTGGCCTTGTCTCCCTTAGGAAGCTGTGACCATTGGTTTCCACATGAGCATGACACGTATTACCATAATTACTGAAAAATACAAACCTGGCAATGGGGGACATGTCTTGCAAAATTAATCTGTTGTTTTATGATTTCCTCCAGTTAACTAATAAGAAAGCAGTCACTGGTGAGAACAACTTCACAGATGCCATGAGGCACATGTTGTCGTCCCGGCTGAGTATGCCTGACTGCCCCAACTGCAACTACAGGAGAAGGTGAGCCTGTGTTGTTGTGTGGGCACAGCGGGCCTGCGGGAGCCTCAGTGACCCAAGTAGAGGTCCGGCGCTGACCTTTAAAGAGCACCGCCTGACCTACTCTGTTGGCTTTCTCGGTAACTGTCCTTAATTCCCAATCAGATGTGCTTGCGATGACTGCAGCCTCTCACACATCCTTACTTGTGGTATCATGGACCCCCCCGTCACTGGCGACATCCACATTCACCAGCTACCACTCCAAGTGGATTCTGCTCCCGACTATCTCTCTGAGATGCGCCCACCTAGCGTGTCATCAGCAAGCTCAGGGTCAGGTTCCAGCTCTCCCATTACAATTCAGCAACATCCCAGACTCATCCTCACAGACAATGGCTCTGCACCAACTTTGTAAGTTGTGACTTTGTAATAAGGTTTCAGAAATTTGAGTAATCCAATAATGAGAAATATAGACAGTAATGTCTACAGAAGTAAGGATATCATTATAGTGCTTTTCAAGAAAAAGGACCCTTAATTTTTTTAAACAACTTTTAAAACATGAAATCAGTAAACCCAAACTTTGACACTATTTCATTACCTGAAAAAAAAATATGGTAAATTAATAAATGCCAGTAAAGGAACATGTTGGTATGCAGGAAAGTGTCTCTTTAATTCTGGCTTCACATTTCCTCATTGTATTTGAGGGTGATCAGCCCAGTGTTCATTCCGCTTCATTATCAGTTCAGCATTCATGCTTATTCCCTGTCTTGCTAAGAACTCAGGTGATCACTTTAGCAAGCGATTGAAAGGTTCTGTTTTCTGTGTTCCCACATTATCTAGAAGTACATTTTGTATGAATGAGCGAGGTGGCTGTGCAGCTGTCACCAATTCCCATTGTAGGTGAGTGGTCCCACATTTCTTTAGAGTTGTGACCCCGTCATTTGTTGAGGTTTCCCACTCTAACTTCTGGATGGATTGCGCGTGGATGTGTGTTTTTATTTTGTTTAAGTAAACTTAGGTTTGCATTCCGCATATCACAGAGCACAAGTGTCAGGAGCTCTGTGAAGGTGATGGACGCCGGCTGCAGTTCCCAGGGTAGGGATTATTGCCCTGCCCTTGGGCTGCTCAGCGTTTCTTAGACTTCTCAAGGAGACTCTAAGGCTTTCCTTCAGAGTCTTTCGGTTTTCAATATGGTTTTGATCTCAAACACAAAATAATTCTAAAAGAATTGGTCTGAACTCCATGAGTCTTCATTGAATTCAAACTGCTTTATAGCATTAGAAACCCTGTGCTCTCTCTGGGAGCCTATGAAGGAGTGTTAAGGATTTCACAGCTAGCTGTTAGCCAGCTTCTTACAGAAACATATCAAAATTGAACATGTATAGTCCAATAAAAATTTACATTGGAAAAGTTCATCCCTGCTCATGTATCATAGCTGCTGATGTCAGTGGTGGGCTTCTGTGCTGCATTGCGTGGTGGAGGAAATCGGCTGTGGGAGCCTTCCTCCTCGGGCCGCGACTGCCTGTGACTGCTCTGGGCATCTGGGCCTTGAGCAACTTGTGATAGCTGTCTTTCAAATGTAAACAGCTATTATTTGGAAACCTTCCGTGTTGCCTTTGGTTTGTGTTATCTCTTTCTTGGTGCCATTTCAAAATTGTTAAATAGAATCATGTCATTTTAGTCACTGTACTGCAGTGGTCTCTCGATTTTATGGGTTCTAGGATTGCCGAAGCCTGCCTTCATCACATTGAGCAAGTGATGTAGTTACTTCATTTCCGAACCTCAGTTTGCTCATCTGTGAATCATGGCGATGATAATACCTTAGGAATGGGTGTGAGTGTTGACTGAGGCAACACATTCCATCACCTCAGGTGCCGTAGGCCCTGGTGGGTGCTGTTTGTGCTTCCTTTGGTGAGCTCCAGATTATAGTACGTTGTAGTATGTTGACATTTATTTTCCAAAAATGGAAAAGACATCTGAGTTTGCAGTTTTGGACACTCTTTCCTAAAGCCAAAAGATTGCTAGTTCTTAGGATTTTTTCTGGAAGTTGTTGTATGCCGAGACTGAAGGCAGGTTCGGAGGCATGTTTACATAGACTCGGGACGTCCATTTATGTTTATGCCTTGAACTATTTTCACTGAACCGGGAACTCTGTGCCAGCACTTTTCATGCACCAGAAAATCATACATTTTAGGTGGCCTCCATAGGCTACAGCCTTGAAATCTGCCTACATTTTTTTAGTAAATATTCCATCTGCCCATTACTTAGATGTCTTGCTAAAGCTGATATTTAAATTAAGATCATGACTGACTTGACCAGAGCTGGCCTTGTAGTAAGAAACTTTCAGTATTTTTGTTGCATCAGTGCTTTTAAAGTTTTGTTCAACTGACTGTGTCTGAAATTTTGGTGGTTATGAAAACAAGCACTAAAGACCTAAGGTTGTTCTCTGTACTCTGTTAATTGTAGTAAAAAATTAATTTTGTCTGCTTGGAAATGGCAGAGAGAACTGTACACCAGGGCACTTCAAGTCAAATGGAGATGTAGTATCGATTAATTACATTATTGTGATTCCCTTATAGTTCTGCTTTTAGGGTTTTTTCCATTCTTGCGGATAGTGCAAGTGTTAATCTTCCAGGTGTTTTTCTCTTGTGTTCAGGCTACTAAGAGATGCTAAGAAGTATGAGTGGACAGTCTATACAGAAACTGATATAATGTACACCTGAAATTTACACAATGTTATAAGCCAATATAACCTGAATAAAATAATTTTTAAAAAAATGTATGAGTGGTACTCAGTGTAATACTCTTGTAAATGAGGATGATATCTATGAGGAAATATCTGTGTTTAGTGGGTGGTTCACTCACTGTCCTCCCAAGTGAACAGCCTCATGGTGGCTGTCTCTGCTTGTCTCAGTTGTAGTGACGATGAAGACGTTGCACCATTGTCAGCTAAATTTGCTGATATTTATCCGTTGAGTAACTATGATGATACCGAGGTGGTGGCCAACATGAATGGAATCCACAGTGAATTGAATGGTGGCGGGGAAAACATGGCTCTGAAAGATGAGGTATGGGCATAGCTTCTTCATAGTGACAATACATGGCATAAAGTGGTGGTCTGGCATTTTAATTTTTTATGTTCTTCTGGTTTGAAAAGTATAAATTACAAAAGGTTGTTTTTAAAGTCCCCTCAGGTAAGCAGTACCAGTAGTAGTTCTTCAGAAGCTGACGATGAAGAGGCTGACGGCGAGAGTAGTGGGGAGCCACCAGGAGCCCCAAAGGAAGACTCGGCTCTAGGGAATGGGAGCCCCAGGAAAGAGGAGAGTAAAGTGGACAGTCCACCCCCATCTTACCCAACTCAGCAGGTATGATTTTATTTTTTCGAACTTTCTGTTTTGCCAAGGATCTTTTCTCTGTGTATATTTTCTCTAAACATGAGCATTATTTAATGCAAAAATTATGTTACTTCAAATAACTTCTGAAAATTAGAACTGGAGAAGATCAAGGCTTGCTTACAAAATAAACAAACATGGCTGATAACCCCATTCTAATATTGTTTCTCTTGGTTGAATCTGTAGTCAACAGTCTTGACTTGACAGCACCCCAGAGCAGCTCCAGATACTTGGATGTCTTGGAGTTGTTCATCTGTGTAGAAGCAAAGGGGAGTTGTTTTTAATTAAATAAAATAGTGGAATGTTAAAATTTCGGAACAGGTTGGTTTTGTGAGGGAGCTTTTTCTCCAGGTTGATCTGTTAACCACAGATTGAGGGTAACTTATCAGACTATTTCTTTTTTCTTAGAGACTCAAAGTTTTATAATAGATGCTCAAGCAGTTTTTATTTTTTATTTTACTTATTTATTTGTTTTTTTACCCACAGAAAATGTGTTTATTTATTTACTGTGTCAGGCAGTTTTTAAATGAAAGGAAGAATAAATGAAGATTATGGTGTTTGGCTAATTAATTCATTTTAATAAGTGTAAATCTCGGATTTGAACAATAAAGGTGATATTAAAAGATATTACATTGAGAAGTCTTGCTCCCTTGTCCCTCCCCATCTACCCTGTCCAGCAACTACCCACCCCAGCCCCTAGTCCCAATAAATAACCAGTTTTACTTATTTATTATGTATCCTTCCAGTTTTTATTTATGCAAATACAAATACTTATTCTTCCCTTTTCTTAGAACAAGGCTTATACAGATGCACACTCTGTTCTGCTCCTTGCTTTTTCTCTTAGCAGCATATCCCAGCCGACTTTCTCTTCTGCTGGCCTCTTTGTAGTCCCTCATGTGAACATATCATAGTGTTGTTTTGTTTTTCTTTTTAGTCCCTGCTGATGGGCATTTGTGTTTGCCTCCATTTTTTTCCCCATTATAAACAATTCAGTGAGTAACCATATACATCTGACATTTTATACATAGGCAGATATATCCCTAAGATTGGTCACCAGCAGTGGCTTTACTGAGTCAGAGTATGATGGCCTTCCCTACTCCCTAGGAGAGGGTGATGTCACAGTTTTGGATTTCTGCCAATCTAATACCTAAGAAATGGTAATCTCTTGAGGTTTCAATTTTCCTTTCATTTTTTATGGGCAAAGTTGAGCATCCTTTCATATGTTTAAGAGCCATTCGTTTCATTTTCTATGTTATTATGAGTGATAAGAGCTCGTTATGTATTGGTGCAAGTCCTTTATCAAGTATGTGATTTGCAAGTATTTTCTCCTGGTCTGTGGTGTGTCTATTCGTTTTTTTTGTGTGTGTGTAAGGAAGATTAGCCCTGAACTAATATCTGTTGCCAATCCTCGTCTTTTTGCTGAGGAATGTTGGCCCTGGGCTAACATCCGTGCCCATCTTCCTCCACTTCATATGTGAGACGCCTGCCACAGCATGGCTTGATAAGTGGGTGCATAGATCCACACCCAGGATCCAAACCTGCAAACCTCGGGCTGCCAAAGCGGAGCGTGCAGACTTAACCACTACACCACAGGGCTGGCCCCTATTCCTTTTTTTATAGTGTTTTTTTGTTCGTTTGTTGTTTTTTGCTGAGGAAGATTCGCCCTAGCTAGTGTCTGTGCCAGTCTTCCTCTGTTTTGTACGTGGGTCACCAACACAGCATGGCCACCAACATGTGTAGGTCTGTGCCCAGGCACCGAACCCGGGCTGCCAAAGCAGAGTGTGCCAAGCTTAACCACTAGGCCACCGGCTGGCCCCTATGGTGTTTTTTGAAAAGCAAAATGTTTTTAATTTTGATGCATTGCAGTTTATCAGTTTTTTCTTTTATGGATCATACTTTTGATCGATAGCCAATAAAACTTTGCCTAATACAAAATTCTGTTTTCTTCTAGAAGATTTACAATTTTAGTTCTTACTTAAGCCTCTGGTTCATTTAACTCAATTTTTGCTTATGAGGTGAGGTTAGGGTGTAAATTCATCTTTTTGCATATGTAGATATCCAGTTATCCCAGCACCATTTGTTGAAAAGACCATCTTTTCCCCTGTTGAATTGCATTGGCCATTTGTTGAAAATCAGTTGACTGAAAATGTAAGAGTTTGTGTTTGTACTCTGTATTCTGTTTATTTGATCTCTGTGTTCTTACACCCATAGTATACCTGACTGCTGCACTGTAGTAAGTTTGGAAATTGGTAGGATCTGCTCTCCAGTGTCGTGGACCTTTTTCAAAATTGTTTAGGCTGTTCAAAGTCCTTTGTATTTCCATATAAGTTTTAGGATCAACTTGTTAACTTATACAAAAAAGCCTGCTTGGATTTTGATAGAAATTGCACTGAATTCTTGAATATTTGGTAAAATTCACTAGCAAAATCATCTGGGCCTAGTCTTTTATTTGTGGGATGATACAGATCAATTTTGGGAAAATACAGTCTTAACAAAATTGAATCTGTCAGTCTACGAGCAATGCTGTGTCTTTCCATTTAAGTCATCTTGAATTTCTCTCAGAAATTTTTAAAAATTTCTAGTCTCTGGGTCTTGAACATATTTGTTAAATTTATTCTTAAGTATTAGATATTTTTTGATTCTGTAGTACATGGTATTTTCTAATTTAAATTTTCAATTGATCATTGATAATATAGAGTAATTTATTTTTATATATTGATCTTATATTCTACAACTTTACTAAACTCATTTATTCAAGAGGGATTGAGTTTTTTGTTTTTGTTTTTTGGGTGGATTTCTTTGGGTTTTCTGCATGCAAGATGATGTCTATGAATAAAGATGTTTTTACTTTTTCCTTTCCAATCTAGATGTTTTTCTTATTCTTGCCTTAATGAACTAGCTAGAACCTCCTGTACAGTATCGAATAGAAGTGGTACAAGCAGACATCTTGCCTTGTTCCTAGTCTTAGGGGAAGAGCATTCAGTCTTTGGCCAGTAAGTATGATGGTTTGTTGTTAGTGCCATCAAGTAGATTCTGACTCCTAGCAACCCTGTAGACAGCAAAGTAGAATCCTGCCCAGTCTTTTTGCACCATCCTCTCACCTTCTGGCACTAGACCAGGCAATGTTCCACTGCTATTTGTAGGATTTTCATGGCCACTTTTTTTGGAAGTGGGTGGCCTGGTCCTTCTTCCTAGTCTGTGTTAGTCTAGAAGCTCTGCTGAAACCTGTCCACCATGGGTGACCCTTCTGGTCTTTGAAATACCGGCGGCATAGCTTTCAGCATCACAGCAACACACAATCACCACAGTGTGACAACCGACAGACGGGTGGTGTGGTTCCCTGACTGGGACATGAACCTAGGCCGTGGCAGTGAGAGCGCCAAATCTTAACCACTAGACCACAGGGCTGGCTAAGTATGATGCTAGCTGTGGATTTTTTGTAGATGCCCTTAACAAGTTGAGGAAATTCTGTTCTATTCCTGGTTTCTGGAGAGTTTCACCATGAATATGTATAGGATTTTTTAAATGCCTTTTCTGTATTTATTGAGATGTACCTGTGGTTTTCCTTCTTTATTCTCTTCCTGTGGTCTATCGCATCAAGTGATTTTTGGATATTAAACCAACCTTGTGTTCCTGGGATAAATCCCACTTGGTCATGGTGTAAAATCCTTTTTTATATGTTGCTGGATTGGTTTGCTAACATTTTATTAGGATTTTTGCATCTATGTTAATAAAAGATATTGATCTGTAGTTTTCTATCCATGTGATGTCTTTGTCTAGCTTTGGTCTCAGAGTAATACTGGCCTCATAGAATGAGTTGGAAAGTGTTTGTTCTGCTTATGTTTTCTGAAGAGATTTGTCTAAGATTGAGATTTCTTAAATATTTGACAGAATTCACCAATGAAAACCCATGGACCTGGTCTTTTTTGTGGAAAGATTTATAATTACTAATTCAAATTTTGTTTACTTGTAGGTCTATTCAGATATTCTATTTCTTCTTGAGATAATGTAAATAATCTGGGTCTTGTAGGAATTTATCCATTTCATCTAAGTTGTCTAATTTGATAACATAAGGTTGTTTATTGTATTCTCTTATAATTCTTGTAATTCTGTAGAGTCTGTAGTAATGTTAATTACTGATTTTGATAAATTTGATAATTTTTTTAACACCCTCAGTCTGGCTAAAGGTTTATCAGTTTTTGTAAATAAGGAATTTTTGGTTTCGTTGATTTTCTGGTTTTCTCTTTTCTATTTCATTGATTTCTATCCTGATCTTTATTATTTCTTCCTATATTCTTTGGGTTTGGTTTGTTCTTCTTTTTCTAGCTTATTGAATCTAAAGCTTAGATTACTGATTTTAGAATAGCTTCCAAATTTATTAAGACTTGTTTTATGGACTAACATATGGTCTATCCTAAATAATGCTCCATGTGCACTTGAAAATAATTTGTGTTCCGTTTATAAGTGGAGTGTCTTATAAACGAAAGTTTGGTCAAACTGATTGATAGCGTTATTCAAGTCTTCTGTGTCCTTACTGATTTTCTGTCTAGTTGTTCTAAAAATTACTAAGAGAGACATATTGAAGTCTTTGAGTATAACTGCTGGATTGTCTGTTCTCCTTTCAGATCTGCCAGTTTTTGATTCATGCATTTTAGGACAGTGCTGTTGAATGTGTATACAAGTATTGTTATATTTCCCTGATATATTGATCCTTTGTCATTATGAAATGTTTCTCTGCTAATATTTCTTATCTTAAAGAGTATTTTATCTCATATTAATATAGACAATCCAGGGGCCGGCCCCGTGGCGTAGCGGTTAAGTGCGTGCGCTCTGCTGCTGGCACCACAGGTTCGGATCCCGGGCACGCACCAAAGCACTACTTGTCAGGCCGTGGTGTGGTGGCGTCCTGCAAAGAGTTGAGGAAGATAGGCACAGATGTTAGCTCAGAGCCGGTCTTCCTCAGCAAAAAGAGGAGGATTGGCATGGGTGTTAGCTCAGGGCTGATCTTCCTCACACACACACACACAAAAATATATATATATAGACACTCCAGCTGTCTTAGGGTTATTGTATGCATGTGATATATTTTTCCATCTTTTCAATTTCAGCCTCTTTTTGTCTTTGAATCTAAAGTTTGTCTTGGAATCTTTTAGTTGGGTCTTGCATTTTTATCCTATCCATCAATCTCTGCTTTTTGTTTGGAATGCTTCATTTACATTTAATGTAATGATTGGTGATATTTACATCTCCCATTTAGCTGTTTATTTCTATATGTCTTATATTTTTTGTTCCTCTGTTCCTCAACTTCCTTTTTTTGTATTAAATTTTTTAATATACCATTTTATTTTATTTTATTTTGCTATTGATTGTTTATTTATTTTTTTTTTAGTTTAGTTTTTTAAAGGGTATGGGGAATTGGGAATGGGAAGAAGCCTCAGGCAAGAAGGCCAGACTCCTGCTGTTCTCGCATGAAGTACTAGCAGATATTCATGAATAAACGCTTCTCAATTTGTTTTTTTCCTTTGGTTGATTTCCAGTGTCTCAAAACAGTTGCCTTTGACAATTGTGTTCAGTTTTACACTTGTTTTGAGGGAGAAGAGTCACTGACTGCTTCATTCCACCTTAGCCGGAAATCCCATCTCTGGTGCATTTTGAAGAATCTCTATATACCCATTCATCAAGCAGTATGAACCCAGGGGAGCATAGCACCGGTGGTTTTGTTGTCCTTGGTCCCAGCTCCCTCTCTCCACTCTGCCATCTTTACCAGTTCCCTTGTCCCTGCTCAGACAGGCACAGGATACAAATTGGTATGGCTGTTACCTCAGCAGATATGCAGCCGGGGAGTGAGGTGTGCATCTCTTCTCTTTTCAGGTTTCTTCAGCCCTAGTCTCTCAGAGTCCCGCGTTTATCTTGCAAGAAGGGCCCTGGTCGACGTGGGGTGTCAGGACGAGCCCTGTTACCTTTGTATTTGCTGTGTAACTGCTCAGCAGAATGTGACTGACTTTAATTCGTAACATTCTTTGTTTCACTAAATAAGCAGGTACTTTTTTTTTTTTTTCTTTCCTTTTAGGCTGAACAAGCTCCAAACACTTGTGAATGTCATGTTTGTAAACAAGAAGCTTCTGGACTGACAGCATCAGCAATGACAGCTGGAGCACTTCCTCCTGGCCATCAGTTCATGAGCCCAGAGAAGCCCACCCATCCTGCTCTGCATCTCTACCCCCATATCCATGGACATGTACCTTTGCACGCCGTCCCTCACCTGCCTCGCCCTCTTATCCACCCCACCTTGTACCCAGCACCCCCCTTCACTCACAGTAAGGTAAGTCAGGGCAGAAAACTCACCTGTCACTAGGATCTTACAGGAGTACATATTTAAACAAACAAAAATCCATAAGGTGGTAGCCTGCATAGGACAGCATCCACTCCTAATAGGAAGGTCTGGAAATGTTTCCTTTTATCATAATCTCTTAAGCTCTTGGAATTTTGAACTCTCCAGTTATAAAAACAATCATGAAAGTCATGGTTTATTCCTTCAGAATTAACTAGAATGTAAAGAGTTTTTCAGATGACATTGGTGTAACAGTTTATATTCAGGGATCCTGCCACACATGGCATCTGCCTACCCAGACACCAGTTCGGTTCTCTACTCATGTCCTTCTGGGGCCTGGCTCTTTTTCTTTCTTTCTTTCTTTTTTTTTTTTTTTTGTGAGGAAGATGACCCTGAGCTAACATCTGTTGCCAGTCTTCCTCCGTTTGCTGAGGAAGAATGGCTCTGAGCAAACATCCATGCCCATCTTCCTCTATTTTATATGTGGGACGCTGCCCCAGCATGGCTTGACGAGCAGTGCATAGGTCTGTGCCTAGGAATCGAAACTGTGAACCCCAGGCCACCAAAGTGGAGCATGCAAACTTAACCACTACGCCACCAGGCCAGCCCCCTGGCTCTTTTTCTTGATATGATGGGTAAAATAATTTGAATATAGCCTAAGTCCTCTAACACCAACTGGTCTCTACAGGGTCTAAAATGATTATGCTCTCTAAGCAGTAAAACTAAGGACTTGTAGACATACTCAGGCTTGAAGGAAGAATCCTAAGTGTGATGCAATAGAAAATCATAATGCCATGCAGGTTTTTGAGAGGTGCCTGGAGGGCAGGGAGTAAAGGGCCTGCCAGAAACCAGTTGTGTAAAAAGCCTGTTCAGGAAGAGAGTAAGATCTAGAAAAAGGTTTGATTTTTAAGCATTTCTTCTCAGAGAACCCCAGGTTTATAATTAGTATCTTAGACTTTGCAGTGAGATTTTTAGGTTGGTTTCATTCTTTGTACCTCTGATAGCTTTGCCTCTCTAGCTATTTTGAACTTATCTTCATTGACTCATCATAAATTCTGATTTTTATTTTTCTTTTTATTATTTTGGTTCGAGGTTAGTTCTCATCAATAAAAAATAGAATTTCCCCCAAACTCTACTGATTTATTATTTAAAACAGTGATTCTCAACTGGGAGAGAAACGGAGGGCATGGTGTGGAAGGGGCTTTTTCAAAGTACATGCACGTTTTCTTCCACAAGGGGCGTCCCTGTGAAGTGAGAGTGTGTGTAGCCCATAAGTGGGGTTTATTGTTTGTTTGCTGGGGAGGGGCACAGGTGGGAGATCAATAACTGCTGGTTTACAATATAATATAATCAGTTTGTCATGTTCTGTTACCATAGGTACTTGGTAACTACCCAAATTTATGCTTAAATTTTGTTAGGTTGAATATTGCTCAATTTGAACATTTAATGATGCCTTTGTTAATAGAGAGATTTTAAATAACATTTTCAGGTACATGTTCAAAACCAGGTTGTTTTCCTGGTCTGCCAAGTCTGTAGCCTCTTTCCCTTCTGGGTGAATGTATGATGTTGGGGAATTGTCCACTCCCTGTTCTTACCTGAATAAAGCTCTGTTTTCTAGTCCTTAGGAACCACCCAGAGAAAAGAGTATAGAATGCTCTGTTAAACTTTCTTGCTAGAAGCTGTTCAAGAAAATCTTCAAGTAAAGTAGTGAAATTGATTATTCTCAAAGGCTATTGGGACACTCTAGTTAAAACTAATTTTTTTCCCTGACTTTTGGCCTTTTCTCAGCATGTGATAGATAGTTTATAGAAGGCTAAAGGAGAAGAAAAACATTTTGGGGGAGCATCACCTATATATAAAATCTATGTATTTAATAGATTAAACTTTAATCCAGTAGATAGATGTGAAAGATTCATGGATAGAAAGGCAAATACAGAGGATAAGCTACCACTTTGCTATTAACATCAATCAAGACTGTTCACTGATACATTTAAAATACATAGCTGGATGCCATTTTTATTTGGAAAAATGAAATGCATTTGGCAAAATACTTCATTTGTACCTGGTATAAAAATGTTTGTTTCTCTAAACAAGCTTGCATTGTCACTTACCAGGTCTTGCAAAATTAGTTTGTATTATTTGAGTTAGTTTGACTTAGTTGAATACTGTGGATACATCTATACCTAAATGCATAATGTGTTCACAACCGATTAAGAGTTGGTAGAAACACCTTCTAGAGAACGAACCAGCTATATTAGAATGGCATAAACTTGTCTTCAGTTACATCAGAGCAGGCTTCTTAGAGAGGCCAGAATTGTTCAATGTGATGTTCCGAATGTAGTTGGGAAGTGGAAGGTGGGCGCTGAATATGGAGGGCAGCTGCACGCATTGAGGCTCTTCTGACCTGCTTTTCTTTCTGTGTTGTCGGGTCTTTAGGAGTTCCTGCTCTAGTGAAATGGCAGTTTTCACCTTTAAGGCTTTATGTCATTGTAGTTGTAATTCTTCTTTTAATTCATACTTTGGCTATTGTGTGTAAATATTTAGTACCTAAAATGCTTGGGATGAGTACTACGAAAATCTCATTTTCTTGAAATTAGAAAACCTTTGAAGAGTATTTTATTTTCAGATGTCTTCATACCAATGATACATTTAATTTTTATGTTGAGATATAAGTTATTTGAAAGTTGAAAGTAGTTGCAGAAGGAAAAGACAGTAATGAAACATTAGAGAAAAAATTAAAACTGTAAGTGACAGAGAATTTAATTTCCAAATATTTGGGTATTTCCCAGCTATCTTTCTGTTACTGATTTCTGCTTTAATTCCATTGTGGTCTGGGAACATACATTGTATGATTTCTGTTCTTTTGAATTTGTTAAAGTGTACTTTATGGCCAGAATGTGGTCTGTCTTGGTGAATGTTCCGTGTGACCTTGAGAAGAATGCATAATCTGCTATTTTTAGATGAAGTAGTCTATGGATGTCCATTATATCTAGTTGATTGATGGTGCTATTGAGTTCAGCTATGTCCTTACTAATTGTCTGCCTGCTGGATCTGTCCATTTCTTTTTTTTTTTTAATTTTATTTATTTATTTTTTTTCCCCCTCAATGCCCCAGTAGACAGTTGTATGTCATAGCTGCACATCCTTCTAGTTGCTGTATGTGGGACGTGGCCTCAGCATGGCCGGAGAAGCGGTACATCGGTGCGCGCCCAGGATCCGAACCCGAGCCGCCAGCAACGGAGCGCGCACACTTAACCGCTAAGCCACGGGGCTGGCCCTGGATCTGTCCATTTCTGATAGAGGAATGTTGAAATCTCCAGCTATAATAGTGGATTCATTTGTTTCTCCTTGTAGCTCCATCAGTTTTGCCTCATGTAGTTTGATGCTCTGTTGTTAGATGCTTACATGTTTAGGATTGTTATATGTGCTTGGAGAATTAACCTTTTTATCATTATGTAAATGCCTTCCTTTATCCCTGATAATTTTCCTTGTTCTGAAATCTGATCTGTCTGAAATTAATACAGCTATTCCAGCTTTCACTTAGTGTTAGCATGGTATATCTTTCTCCATCACTTTACTTTTAACTTAAAGGGGTCTTTATACTTACAATAGGTTTCTTGTAGACATGTATAGTTGGGTCTTGTTTTTTAATATACCCTGATGATGTCTGCCTTTGTGTTGGTGTATTTAGACCATTCACATTTAGAGTGACTTTTGATGTGTTTGGATTAATAGCACTCATGTTTTAGCTGTTTTCTGTTCCTTACCAGAGACGACTTCTTCTGTCTTCTCCACTTTTAATTGAGCATTTTCTGATTCCATTTTATCTCTTTTCTTAGCATATCAATTATACTTTTTTTAATTTTAGCAGTTGTATTAAAATATACATTTTTACTAATCTAAGTCCCCCTTCAAATAACACTCTTCTGCTTCATGTGTAGTATATGTACCTTTTAAGAAATTATTCCCAATCCCTCCCTCCCATCCCTTGTGACGTTGCTGTCATTATTTTTATTTTTCCGTATATTAATCACCCAGTACGTTGTTACTGTTATCACTTTAAACAGTTATCTTTTATATCAATTAACAATAAGAAAAATAAGAGATTTTATTTTACTTTTATTTATTCCTTCTCCATTGCTCTCCCTTTCTTTATGTAGATCCAAGTTTCTGACCTATATTATTTTCCTTCTGCCTGAAGAAAATCTTTTAACGTTTTTTACAGGGCAGGTCTGCTGACGATGAGTTCCCTCAGTTTTTGTTTGTCTGAGGAAGTCTTTATTTCTCCTTCACTTTTGAAGGATAATTTCGCTGGATACAGAATTCTAGGTTGGTGGTTTTTTTTCTTTCAACACTTTAAACATATTTAACTCCACTCATCTTGCTTGCATGGTTTCTGATGAGATGTCCTCTGTAATTCTTTTCCCTCTTCTATAGGTACAGGAATTTCTCCCCTCTCCTCTTTCCCCTCCCCAAGGCTGCTTTCAAGATTTCCTTTTTGTCTTTAGTTTTCTGCAGTATGAATATGATACACCTAGGTGTAAATTTTGGGGTGTTTATTCTGCTTGTTGTTCTAAGAGTTTCCTGGATCTGTGGTTTGGTGTCTGTCATTAATTTTGAAAAGTTCTCAGCCATTATTACTTCAAATATTTCTTCTGTCCTCTCTTTCTTCTCTTTCTGGTATTCCAATTATTGTATGTTACATCTTTTGAAATTGTCCCACAGTTCTTGGATGTTTTTGTTCTATTTTTTTTTTGGTGTTTTGGTGTTGGTGTTCTATTTGTCGTTGTTGGTGATGGTTTTTGGTTTTTCTTTTTTTGATTCTTGTTTCTGTTTCAGTTGGAGAAGTTTCTATTGGCATCTTGAAGCTCACTGATTTTTTCCTTGGCTGTGTCTAGTCTATTAATTAGCTCATCAGAAGCATTGTGCATTTCGCTTACTGTGTTTTTTATTTCTAGCATTTCTTTTTGATTCTGTCTTAGAGTTTCCATC